GGGGCCGCAATATAGCCAGGCCATAAATATGGCCAATTGTCTGAACACGGTTTCTGGGACCTCTCCACGGCGATCCTCATCCACATGGTGGCACTTTGTGTCATCGGGTGTTTATCGCTTGTGTGATGTCCTGGTGGGGTAGAAAGTCAGTCAGTCGACTAATAGTCCTAAATATGACGATGGATGCACTGTAGTCGACCTCTGCACTGAAGACGGTACAAAAGAGAGAGAGAGAGGAGAGAGAAATAAAGAAATTTAAAACGAGGATAGTTTTTCTTAAGAAACAAAACACGAATTAACCCATAAATAAACTATGACAGACTTCGGATATTCCCGCAGTGTAGTAATTTTCGGGAACAGTTTTTGGATTTCCCATTTTCAAACTGTATTTACTTCGGCTCCTTTCTGAAGTCTGATGTTGTTTTTGTTTATCGATAAACCAATTTTTGGTGAGTTATGTTTACTTTATGACCATCTTTCGTTTATTCTCCCATTTCATGGATAGTCTCCAGTCCAGAAAATTTGGCCTCTCTTATAAACGTTCCTCTTATAGTTTATTTTGTACATCCTCGTTTCCTCATTCCACTTGGTTTCCATTTCAGTGCTTGTTTGATGACCCTTAGTTCGCTTCTCCCCACGACGTACCCAGTATATTACCACATTTTTTGTCTTACAACTGTTGATAAAAGTGATTGTCCAACATTTCTGTGTGTCATCACCGTTCCTGAATTCATCTAAATTATGTCAATTTCCACTCATTTGTTTTCAAGTGCATTTAACTTCTGTCGACGCATTTTTTAGCTATTGCTTGCCTATCCCCGTCTCAGTGTGGGGCGAATTTTATTTGTTATGTTAAAACCCCACGCGGCTGTCATCGGGGGCCTTAAATATAACCAACGGGTTGACCGTGTTTTCTGGGACTCGCTCATTCTCATCTGAAAAGTCTCACTTTGTGTCATCGGGTGTTTATCACTCATCAAGCGGTCCAGGTGGGGTTGCACGTCCGTCGGTCAGTTATTTACCTAAGTCATGTTTGAAATATAAACTGCATGTATGTGGAACAGTAACTTTAGGAATTACCACAGCCTATGTAGCGTTTTCACAGAGCCGGTCGTGGGAATGACTTTCATTACCACTTTTTATCTCTTTAAGTCCAAGGGTCCCAATACATTTGTCGAGACCGCTAATGGGGTCGCGAGGGGGTTTCTCTGGGGTGGCCGGGCATTGTGAGCTATGAAAATTTTAAAAACGGAAAAATCAAAACATTTATTTTCGAGGTTTTCACTTTCCCTATTCAAAGCACATAAATAATATAGCTTGGCGACTCGAAAAAAGCTGGGTAACCACTGCCGTATGCGATTCAGTCTCCTCAGATAAATCACCCAATCGTCTGCTTTGCTTTTAAACTCTAAAGGAGCATATACCTCCAGCAACTCATAGATTTAGGTTTGTACACAGGTATCATGCTTTGTTCCAAAAGTGTTGGTGCCACCTTTCATTTTGAGTAAACAAGGCTGACCGAGCCAGGAATCATCCTGCATTGGCAAAACGATAATGCCAAGTTTCTGTGCTCTGCAAAAGAATTCCCTCCCTGGCCTTGATTGACTGTGATTTATATGCATGTCTATATAACACTATCGTCTTGAAAGACGGACATTCCAATGCAAGTTTTAGACCCTAATTCTTTTCCCAGTTCTCTACTTTCTCCACTGACATTTGAAGAGGACAGGAGGTTGTTGTGGTGTTTACAGTATTCGTCTAAACAGGAAAGTAATCGACGAGCATTGGTTCTATATAGCTCTTGTTCGGGTAGGCTGTCAAAGACTTGCTAGTGACACTATTTAGTCTTCTTCTTCTTCGCGTTCACCAGCTGTAAACTCTGGAGGAAAGTTCTGGTTGTTCATCCACTTCTGGACTACAGTCCTGTTCCAGAACCTGAGTGTTGCGCGCGCATCTCAGGCAGATGCACTCCCGCTTTAAAGGAAGCTCCCAATTAGTCGACTCCTACGACATGCTTTTAGGTAGGCAGTGGGTCTATTCTTGTTTTCCCTACAACAGGGCCCCGAACCCACACGGGGAGACACAATTTAGTGAACTCGGTTGTGTTAATCAGAAAGAGGCAGGGTATGTTTCGCTGCTCAGACTCCATATCTGTTCTACTGACTGGACAGCTGAACACACTATCTATTTCAATTCTGACAAATCGTCTGTGCAGAAAGTCTCTTATTATAAAATTCATGCCCCGAGTAACTGTTGCTTGTAGAATTGTCAGCTCAGATTCTCGTTCCACTCAGCGTCAAAGTAAGGGGCTATTAAAACAGACGACTCTGACTGGTTATAACATAATGTCTTTGTTTATTTTGAAAATTAGGCAAATCACCGTCATTGTATTCTGCTACACTACATTGAGAAAACTACGAACAGTTTATTAAAATTATCTCTTTCTCTCTGTCTTCCTCCCCCGCTGTCTGTTTCATGCAATGTTTCCCAGCTGCACCCGAGGCTGCTTCCGCCCCCTCCCCCCTGGAGGCTCCCAGCACCCCCCTCCCCACACACACAGTTTGACCAAGACCGCTACCGCCTCTACAGCTCCCCCGGGGGCGGTAGCACCCATTTTGGGAAACACTGGGCTAGTATATACGATTGCAGCAAGCTCGTAATTTGTTGCATTTTATAACAAGCTTGTTAGAAGGCTAGTGAGTCGTCCCCTCCCCCCCCCCTTTTTTTTTCCACCTCACCCCCTCCCAAGGCCCTGAAACGTGTAATGGGAAAGCTGTACATGAGATAACATTCTTCTTGTTCTGCCTTTCTATCCCCCAATGGAGCATAGGCCCTCAACCAACTCACGCCAAGTCGTTCTATCCTTAGCCATTGCATGGAGCTCTCCCCATGTCCTCCCAATCTTTCTAACCTCGTTCTCCAGCTCTCTTCTCCATGTGTTTTTTGGCCTTCCTTTATTCCTATGCCCCTGTGGGTTCCAATGCAAAGACATTCTAGTTATGCTGTTCTCCTGTTTTCTCAGTGTGTGCCCTATCCAACGCCAGCGTCTTTTCCTCACTTCCTGATCCACTGGAGCCTGTTTAGTTCTCTCCCAAAGTTCTACATTAGTTATTCTATCACACCATTTTATTCCCTCTATTCTGCGCAGGCACCAGTTAATGAATGTCTGTAATTTATTAGTAATTGCCTTGGTTGTTCTCCATGTTTTCCGCCCCATACAATAGTACTGATTTGACATTAGAATTAAAAATTTTTAGTTTAGTATTTCTTTTAATTTCTTTTGACCTCCACAAATTCCCTAGTGCTATAAAAGCCCCTCTTGCCTTTTGTATTCTTATTTTAATATCTCTATCAGTTCCTCCATCTTTATCTACATTACTGCCTAAATAGGTGTACGACTCCACGTCTTGGAGTGGGGTGCCATTAAGAGAAACCACATTACTATTTGCCTGGAGATAACATTATCAGTCTCTAATTGAAAGATTGCAACAATGGAAGATTTCACGTCTGCTCTGTTGTCGGAGACAGAGACAAAAGTTCACCGTTTAAACAGCGAAGATTTCACGGGGTTATCGGAATTCCAAGAAAATAAAGACAAGGTGATAGTTACAAAATGCACACGCATAATAAGCATGAAGAGATTTGCGTAAAAAAAGGAAAAATACAGAGATAAACTGGAAAAAGGTTGAAGGTTGTACGTCACCATAAAGGCGAGTGAAAAAACCCATTGATCATAGAAGTTCAAGTTTGTTACGACAAGGGGGAGGGTGAGGGGGGAGCGGGGGGGGGGGGGGGGGGGGGGGGGGGTTGTGAGCTTTCTCCAGAAATTGTATAAGGGAAAATGGGAGGGGGAGGGGGGCGGGGACTAACAAGTTTGTTTAGGCGAACCCAATGTTTTTGTTGTGTCAGTACTCCTTCGACATTGGTGTATACAAATGTCTAACCGGATGTGTAAAAGGGCGGGGTCTTTGACTTTCTGTGAATGATGAATTAGGAATCAACATCACAACACTCGGGACAATCCCATAAGCGCTCCTTCTCCATCTTCAGCAGTAAGCGAAGAGTTCCAATTCCGAAGGCATCAATTACTGGCTGATTGTATATCCCCTTGCTTTTCCCTTTGACCATCTTTGACCTACTTGAATGTGAAGGTGACATTTCCTGATACTGAAAATACTTGACCTATTTCTCGAAACTAAGATAACAAAATACAGAGGTCGGATTGAGGTTTGAGGTTTTGAACAGCGGATGAACATCATGGCACACGGATAGTGACCCATAAGTGCTCCGTTCTTCTTCTAATTCAAGTCTGAGTCCGAAAAGCTCAGTACAGTGCACAGGCTTTGTAGCACCGGGGAGGATCCTGAAATACTTTGGGTAGATTTTCAACTCCACATTTTTGGCTGGGCAACGCCGTTAGGCTACTCTTTTCGATTTCCAACTGCCAAGGGATTTTTTTTACGTGCGCATCAATGCACACCGGCGTCCGATCTCATTACCCAGAGACCAGGAGGAATTACTAGAAGTCCAAGTCCACGTGAAAAAATCCCAGCCCTTACCGGGGATTGAACCCGGAACCTCTAGGCGGACTCCATGCCTCGAGACCACGCAGCCCTCTAGGTTATACGGAAAAGGTTGAAGGCAAGACCCAAAAAGCGATTCAAGTGGGAGGATAACATCAAGAGAAAGACGAACATCCGACCTTTACTGTGGAGACGGCAATGATTAAATTATTACATATGTGTGCCTGCTTGCTGTCTAATATATATATATATATATATATATATATATATATATATATATATATATATATATATATATATATATATATATATATATATAAGAAAATAAATGTCTCATTTTTAGTTATAAATGTCTCCTTTTTAGCTCTTTCTTTCACTCTCTAATGCCCTCCAAAGCATGTCAGTATATTTTGATATATATGTTGTTCATGTTAAAAATACACATGTATTATTTATGTTGCGGAAACGATCGAGGAGATGAATTCAAGACTGGAATCAAAGCGGTCATTCCATCAAGCATGGACACAAACAGACTGTATGTGTTTCTTTGTACTTGTTTATGTCATAGATCGTCAGTCAAAGCTGGCATTTAGTATGTTTTGAGCTCATTATCATCACCATCATCATCACCATCATCATCATCACCATCATCATCATCACTATCATCATCATCACCATCATCATCATTATTCGGGGTCGCCTCCCACAAAAAAGAAAACATTGGACGCACAGCCATTTTGACGCATGGTCCCGCTGGGCACTTTCCTCCACAAGCAAAGGGGCTCTATGCAAATCGATTAAATATGTTTCATATTATCGACCATTTCTTTTCATTCATGTGACTGGTTGTCATTAGGAACCCATGCAGAATGGTGTATCCAGGGGTCCTAGCACCCTGGTTTGTCCAGGGGCACAGCACAATGGGTTGCCCAGGGGCACAGCACAATGATTTGCCCAGGAATCCCAGCACAGTGGTTTAACTAGGGGTCCCAGCACAATCGTTTGCTCAGGGCACAGCACCCTGGTATGTCCAAGGGCACAGTACAATGGTTTGCCCAGGGGCACTGAACAATGCTTTTTTTCAGGGGTCGCAGCACAATGGTTTGCCCAGGGGCACTGAACAATGTTTTTTCCAGGGGTCCCAGCACCATGGTTTGCCCAGGGGCACTGAACAATGCTTTTTTCAGGGGTCCTAGCACAATGGTTTGTCCAGGGACACCGCACAATGGTTTTCCCAAGGCCCTCAGCATACTGGTTTTCCCAATGACCTATAATCCTGTTAAGACGGCTTTGATATTGAAAAAAAAATGTTGGTGGGAAAAAAAAAGGGGGGGGGGTCAGCGGGACGGTGGGTGTCTCTACCTCATTTCAGTCCCAGCTTAGCCCATCATGTCAATGGTCATGCACCTCCCAGCATGCTTGGAAACGGGGCTTTATTTTCCAGCGGGACGCAGTACCTGCACGTTTCTAAGGCATGTAATTTTCCAGCGCTAATGTAATTTTAGAGTTTGCATCTTCCCTGTGGCTACATACGGATGTGAGTCGTGGACTATCTCTCTGTCCTTAAGAAAGAGAATATGGGCTTTTGAGCTGAAATGCTAAAGAAAGATTCTCGGAATATCTTGGACAAAGAAAAGGAGAAATACTGACATATTGAAAGATCTGAACATCAAGGAAGATTGGCTAATAAACAGCATCCTGTCTCGGAAGCTGAAATGTTTTGGTCATATCAAGCGCCACGACGGATTGGAAAAAATGATAGCAGAAGGCATAGTACCAGGAAGGAGGGGCAGGGGCTGACCGACACGAGGATGGGCACAGGATATAAGTGACTCCTTGAGTATGAAAGTACATGAGGCGGGAGAACTGGTGAGAGACTGAGTTTCTTTCAGGCAGACTGTGATAAGAGCGACGTTCTGCAAAGGATTTGCTACATGATAATGATGATGATGACTGTAATAGACACTTTGTGACGAGTACATTACCTTTTATTATACACTTTATGGTTAATACCTCACCCCCCCCCCCCCCTTTTCCCCTTTTTTTTTAGAAAAAAAAAAAATCACCAACTTGAAATTAACGATCGGTTTTTTATGCCTCTATGTGGCTGGTTGGTGCCTGTGGTCTAGGCGTTGACAACACCACTCGTAATTTTAATGTCTTTTGTTGTTGTTGAACAATTTATTTATTTATGTCTGTATTTAAATAAGATGTCTTGAAAGAAACTGACCCTCGAAGAGAAAGAGACAATCTACATTCTTTGGTCATATGATGAGAAGGAGAAAACTGGAGTACATCGTGACAATAGGAGAGGCAGAAGAAGGCCGAGAGAAACGATGCTCGACAGTTTGACATCAGGGTATAGAGAATCATCTGTGGCAGAATTGATTGAAAGTACACGAGACAGAAGGTTGTGGATGGACATGACTACCATCGCTACACCGCATGGACTTTAAGAAGAAAAAGAATAAGAAGTATAATAATAAGAAGAAGAAAAAGAAGAGGAAGAAGAAGAAGAAGAAGAAGAAGAAGAAGAAGAAGAAGAAGAAGAAGAAGAAGAAGAAGAAGAAGTATTCAGATATGATCACCGCGTGTTACTCGTTTAGTTTACGAATGCACTTTTTTCAAAGATACAAGGAGGTCGTCGTTGGAGCTACGGAATTTGTGCTATGTGCTATTTTCTCAGTAGGCAGCTGACGGTTCTGAGGACAGGCCAAGCCACATGGAACAACCGCTGTAATGAAGTCGATAATTTGAACTTCAACTTATCGGCAGTCATTTATCGTTTTTAAGCAATGTTTTTTTTTTTCGCAGATGAGTTCCCAACGACAGCTTTCTTGGATGTGATAAAACAAGACAATATAAATATGGCGAAACATCTAGCAGAAACCAGTACTAATGAAACAATAAAACTAGGCAATTCGGACACGGATCCAAATAAAATGAAGAAACAAGGATTGGGTTTGAATGCCAGGAGACAAAGCCAATTAGAGCAGGAAATAAACAGCATTAGACAGGTAGTCCAAGAACAAGACAGTAGATTGAAAATGCTGGAGCAACTGCTGGGAACTTCGACTACTTTACACTACGTCAGAAGTTTGGAAGAAAAGGTCAACATTTTGCAGCAGACGATGGAAGACTTCACCATTCGTTTAACTTCCCTTGAAGATGGAAATGAACGTGAAGAAATGTCACTAAACGATCTTTCATCAAAAGTTGATAGTATAGATCTGACACTGGGAAATCTAGAGTCAGAGAGAGAGAATGAGGAATACAAGTTAAAAGAGTTTGAAGGTAGACTTCTGGAAGCCGAAGCAAACAGGAGAAAGGATTGGAGCTTTTACCAACAAAAACTGGCAGATGTTGAAAATCTGGTAAGTTTTCAGTAACAGTAATTTAGTCAGCTATATCATATTCAGCCCTTCTTAGTTATATGTGAGATATTGTTGTTGTCCTTTCAGATAGTAGTAATCAACATCAAATTCCTTGCTGACTGCGTGAGGGATCATGCCTCTCCACAATCTACGATTCCCAAAATCATTCATAATATTATTAATACCATGTGCTGACGCACGGCCAGCTCCAGATTTATATATATATATATAATAGCTCAAGATGGGCGTGGCTGACGTTACTTCCGGTTATGCAAACGGCTGCGCTGTCCTTTATCGCTCTTTACCGAATATTTATGCGTATTAAGGACATGTTATTACATTTTTATACTTTAAGTGTAAATAAAAATCATGGTTGTCATGGCAATAGCCGCCATCTTGTAGAAAAAACAATATGTACTTATAATCCAAAAATATTTAAAACAAACATACGTATTCAATAATAGATGATGGATTCATAACCTTAAATCCTATTTAGAGGTACAGGTGTAGTTTATTTACTTTAAAGATGTTTTTAAATGTTTTTCGTAGAATTTTAAAATTTTAGGTTTATTGAAAAAGTAACAAAAAATCTAGCATCATAAGTCAATAATCGAATTAAAAAAAAAAACTTTCTGAAATCTACTTTTAAATAAACCAGTCCCTATAATATTGTTTACGAAGTACCCATACCAAATGTCATGTTTCTAGTCTCTATATTAGCTGAGATTTTAGGATTTCACACACACACAACAAACAGAAACATAGAGATGTGAGAAAACTGACTTTTAAACTTTTTTTTTTTAATCTTAAAAAAAAAAAAAAATGCATGCGTTGGTGTCTTTAGTATTAACTTTTCAATGCTAAACTGTTTACACATGACATCAATTCTATGTGTAATCTATTCTACGAATGCCTAACTTTACAAAAACGAACACATTGAAAAAGTGATATTTTTGTCATAAATTGGAAAAAATGCCGTGTAGTGACCCCTTATAATGGCATCCGTCAGTCCCGGGGGACTATGGAGATGTGCCGCTGGCTTTGGGAATAGCATCTGCTGTGACTGTAAAGTCCGATGCGGGAATGGCAGCCTTTGCCACACAGGATACACACAAAAGCAGATACTCCCTCGTTGTAAGGCAGTTTTACTCTCCGGCGTCTCCTCCCCACAGCTAGTTGTTCGGTTTCTTTCAAAATGTGACAGTCCGTCTTTCACTTTCTGTCTCCATAGTAGTCGATCTGTAGCTGATTTTTCCCATGTCTCTGTGCCTATGTTGGTATCTATTAGGTCACGTTTGCATACATCTTTATAGCGCAGCTTTGGCCTTCCTGTAGGTCTATTCCCAGATACCAATTCACCATATAGGAGATCTTTTGGAATACGACCATCCTCCATGCGGGAGACATGTCCCAGCCAGCGCAGACGTCTTTGCTTCAGTATACAATACAATGATGGTATTTTTGCTCTTTTGAGCACACATTCGTTGGAGACAAGATCTCGCCATAATATACCGAGGATGCGTCTCAGCCAGCGCATATGGAAGGTATTCAGTCTTTTTTCCTGTGGAGCATAGAGAGTCCAGGATTCGCAGCCGTACAGTAATGTGCTCAGGACACAAGACTCATAAACCATCATTTTTGTATTATCAGTTAGCTTTTTGTTTGACCAGACTCTCTTTGTGAGATTTGCAAACATAGCAGAGGCTTTTCCTATATGTTTGTTTAGTTCTGCATCCAGAGAATGATTGCCTGAGATACGTGAGCCTAGGTACTCAAACTCATTTACAGCCAGCAGCTGATGGTCATACACACTAATGTTTGGTGGATTTCCAACATTCAATCCCATCACTTCTGTTTTGTTCAGACTGATGGTAAGCCCAAATTCTTTGCAAGCATGTGCAAAGCGATTCATCAGGATCTGCAGATCATCCTCTGAATGTGCCACAATGGCTGCATCATCCGCAAACAAGAAAATCCCTGAGTGACCCCTTAATGCTTTTGACTATTTGATAATGTTTAGTAAGTTTCATTAAGCGTCTGTTGTGAAATATACAGCTAAAGTCATGGGACACACTGAGTCGGCCAATTTACTTCTAGTGTGAAAAAGGGCCCAGCTCAGCAATCTATAGAGTGGAGAGTTCTGAGGGATGACAGCTTCAGTATAATAGAGTATCAACGTTCTTATGTGGACTATCTATGTCGATCCAAAACCCGAACTAACGAACTTTATTTTCAAAGGGTTCAAATTGGACACGCAGCCAGTCTTACACTCGGCCTTTACAAACACTCATCTTTCACACAGCAGTTGCATTTTATCACCAAAGATGTTTGTACATATATAAATATGCATAATATGAATATCAAAGAAATGTGATAGGGGGAGGGTTGGGCGTGGTGCCAGTTCTCCCACCCTGTGAACATTTTTTTATTTTTATTTTTTATTTTTGCCTTAGAAACTTCATGAAAAGGCTAAAGTTATTAAACAAAAGTTAAATACGTTCAGGAAGAAATGACCGAATAAAATTGTGAACATACAATAGGATGAACTATAAAAATAAAGGGGGGGGGGGAGGGGGCAGAGAAAGAAAATGAGAGATGTCTGGACAACCACTAGTAGCAACAGTTATAAGGCAGAAGAGACGGCGCTACATTTGACACATTTGGAGAAGGTACCAGCAGAGAATCCCCAAACAGGTATTGAAATGGGAAATAAAGGGATTCAGGAGGCAAGTACGCCCAAACCTTGAAACAAACGTTGGTGAAAGAGGCCAAAGCTGCAGGACTCGATTTTTGAACTGATTCTCCAGGATAAAAAGGGAATGAAGGAATAGACTGCAAGTCCTATGTGACATATAATAGCCCAACAGGACAAGAAACGAATGAATGAATTTCGCAGACTGCTACTCTCACATAGCACTTTACAGTGTGGTAGACTTCCGGTCTAAAATAGAGGATTAGGCATGGCAGAATGTTAGGCTTCAAAGTTTTTTTTGCTTCCGACAGCGCTTTGTTAATGCATAGTACGTTTCCGGTTTGAGTTAAACTGTGGTGTGTCTTCAGTACAGACAGATCTGTGAGATGATGGCCGGGCATGTGAGGCCCTTGCGCCGATTACAAGACACGCTGAACAACAGAGTCCAGATGACGGAAAAGCGAAACCTGATGGCATCACAGGTAAAACAAGTTTTCTCTTGTGGCCATCTTCTTTCGTTCCTTTGAATTGCCTATTATGAGTTAGGGACCGATTTTATAGCGTTCGGGACACTCCCATAAGCGCTACTTTCCTATCTTCAGTAACACGCGCAGTTCTACTTCCAGTGGTACCATCTGATTATATGTACGTCTCGTCCCTCTCTACATATCTTCTACCAGTCTTCAGCTGACTCTTTATTTCCGTTGTCGTCACACTGTTACCAGGTTGTAGTCCAGTGTCTTGGCTTTCTGTATTTGTCTTGCGCTTCTCGGGGGCTTGTGTGATTCACTCTGCTCCATCTTGAGACAGGCCGAGCAGGCTGGCTGTGGTGTCGACTACTACGACATGCTTATTGGGGACGGGAGCTGGGGTCCATTTTTGTTTCCCCACCCCGCTTAAAAAAAAAAAAAAAATGAGGTCCCGAACTCCCACGGAGATGCAGTAATAGGAATTAGCAACATATACGCTTTACCCTACTGGCGTAAAAACGGTTCTTTTACTCTAGCTAAGTCCTCTTATTGTATTTTTTTTTTTTTGTGCGAATAAAGATTCCTGTCGCGTAAAAAAATTACTTAATCTGTTGTTTGCGGTCTCTTTGTTTCAATTTAAAGCGGAGAAATATTGCTTTGGATTTCTGAAATGTTCAATTGACGTTATTAACTTGTGACTTTTACAGTTGGAGTCGATTAGTGACACAGTTATGGATCTGTTGCCTCGAGTGTCCAACTTAGGTAAGTTTGTGTAAGATCTATTTAGCTCCAGGAATCTTCTAGTACATGTTGATCACAGTTTGTACCATTCATACTTAGCCTGAGTGGATGCCAAGCATCATCATTTGAATGTTACAGAAACTTACGCGGAGACACTGTCCGGGAAACGCAGGAGAGCGAGGAAACGAAAGAGCGGATTTTCTAGCTACAAAAGCGTGAGCTACAGGAAGACTTGTACTGGATAAAATAGACATTCTGAACGAATGCTGATAGAAGAAACGAACTTAGAAGAAGTAACATGTGTAAGAATGTGTGAACGAGGAATTAAGTGTGGATCGGACAAGGAGGGACGGATGAGAGAAAGAGAACGAAATGTGTATCATCAGTGTTAGCTACTAGAACAGTTAGCATCTACACCTAAATTTCATTTGCTGCGGGAGACGGAGCATTTATGGGTTTGCCTGGTGTGCTATGATGTCGATTCTTAAAAAGCAAATCAGTTGTACAAACGTTTTCTCGGTATTTGTAAATTGTATGAAAATAATTTTGGAGAAAAAAAAAAAACACTCAGAAAGAAATAACTAACTGTTAACTTTAGCTTCATCTTCCTCTGGTTCTCTATGTCTGGTGGGTATTGGCCAATCTCCTATGCCACCCCCCCCCCCAATGTATTGTGTATTTTTTTTTAAACTTCTTTGAACACAATCCAAAATCAAATGAGATCGAGACCAGAAAACGTCACCACAAATATAGCTGAAAGGAAAGTGAGCAGAAATGTGAGCGGACCTAGCTGAGAGTGGTCAACGAAAGAGAATTTGAATTTGAAATTAAACTTCTTCTCGTGGTTTTTGCTGTGTGGTACTCAATGGCACCACTACTGTGATCGCCACTTTGTGGTGAGAACCGACACCTGTTGTATATCTTCTTTTTAGCTTTCATCGGCTGTAAACTCCGGCGGAAAGTTCCGGTTGTTCACCTACTTCTGGTTGTTCGTACGCTTCTAATCTTTGGTCTTGTACCACAACTTAAGTGTTGCGTGCAGATCCGTTTGAGAGAACTGACTTATTTTGTTGCTTCCTTGCCCGTCAAGCAGATGCACTCCGACTTCGAAGGAAACATCTGCATCCTAAACCTCATAATTGTTTCATTCTCATGACATGCACTTGTGAACTTTCTTCCGAGGTACTCAGTTTCCTTAATAAGTTCATTTATTTTAAAATATCTTCATTCTGTGCAATATCTTTTTTTTTTTTTTAGTTACAATATTTTGCCTACTCCATATTATAAATCTTCCAGAAGTTAACCGCGTCAACACATGCTCGATCAGTTCGAAAGGGGCCAATATCCAAGCGATGCTGTAAACAGGAACAACGCAGTTACGTCACTTGACGAATGAAAAGACGATACATCTTGATTTTCTCTAGAAGCATTGCTACATACATATAACTGGCAAGTTCAGGGTTGCAGTTTGCATGATCAACAGCTCAAGGATAAGAATCAAACCGGTACAACTCCGCGAAACTCATTCAACCGTATAAGATAGTTATACTGGGCTCCCACAAGATGGTGCGAAGTAGTCTGTCAGTGGTCCAGTGTGGTTGGATCAGATGATCCATTTAGGTTTGCGATTAGTTTGCGAGCCCTATGTGGCGTATAGCGGAACAAGAGGGTGGCGATGAGGTGGATGATATTTCCTTGAGAATCAATATACTCCCAGACTGTCTAGAATATCTTTTTATTTTCGTTCTTCCAGTCAGTTATTTTCAGATGCGAAGCCCACAGGACTCCATAAAGACTATGGTGGGACGTCTGTCTTCCACTTCTTCATACAGCTTGCTTTCTATTGGAACACCAACCGGCCAAACTTGGGATCTCTCTACTGCATGTAGAGAACATGTCTGTAGCACATGGACAAAGTTCTAATCCCCAATCCCGAATTTCTTGTACAAATGGTTGCAGCGTCTGTTTTGTCCAGCCAGTCAGTCAGTAACATGTCCTTTGCAGATCCTTGCACCCATAACAACTTTCCGGAAAACGTCTCGATCACAAGCAAGATGTCCCGCGTCCGATACACCCATCTGGAGATCATCCGCCACATCCTGCACCCATCGTCTCTTTGGCCGTTTTGTCCAGTATTCAGTCTCAATGCACTGTTCTGTCTCTTTTGTATGAAGGAATTATTTCGGTCTTTATGACTGTGTCCTGTGGGCGGCGTTTTGCAATAGGCACTGATGGCTCCTGTGATCTGAGTTTTATTTTCCTCATAAGTACATTTGACTGTTCTGTATGACTTCAAATTTTTGCTCAGTAGTCTGCTCTTTCATTTCCCATAACGCTGCAATGCTTGGAACTACTGGCGCACAGTCTGTTTGGTTAGGTGACCCTTTTAACCATTTATTGCATTTGAAATCTGTTCTCTTCTTTTCAGAATCGCGAGGAAGACATGGGACCGTTGGATTTACCGCTTACCTGCCCCTGGTCACAAGGATGACGACGAGTGGCGTCCTCAAAGAATTCACCGATGTCTGCTGTAACGAGGGAAGCTGTTATAATCCAGCCAATGGCATGTTTACAGCACCCCAGGATGGTTTATATTTTGTGTCAGTAACCCTGAGACAGCGGAAGGAAGGTGCAGTGGACGTCAACGTACTGGCAAGGCGTCGTGCTTCTGGAAACTTGAGGATTGTCGGGAAGTCAGGGACCCATAGTGACAAAAAGTGCAGTACCGCTGTGAGTGTTGTGAAGCTGAAGGCGGGAGATGTACTTTTTGTCAAGGCTGTGTCTGTGGTTCCAGAGGCGTCATTGTCACAGTACTCGAGCTTCACCTGCTATATGATTGGATGAGTAATAAACACGAAGTAGAATAAGTTTAATAGCAGTTCAAACAACCGTATCCTGTTCAACCCACTAGGGCTATAATCGGATTTTAAAGTTTTTTTTTTTTCTGTTTCAATAATGTATATTTATTCCTGTCAGTTATGTTTGGTTATTCAATATTGCTTAGCTTATATTACTTTTATAAATTGTAGGAGGATATTGTCAATAATTATTTAACATTATTACAATATATTTGTCAATATTGTGGTTAGTGCCTATTGGCAGAGCGTGTACAGTTCAGAGGAGCAGATGGATCACCACAGTCTGGTGAGATTGATACAGGAGGGAGTGCCGAGAGGTTCTGGCAGAGGCTCGAGGCTTAGAGGAAAGGGAAGACGGACGTTTAATCAGAATGCTACTGGCCCCATTAGTATCGGAACTCTTCACTAGCTGCTGAAGATGGGGATGGAGCGCTAATGGGAATGCCCCGAGTGCTATGATGTCGGTTCTTGAATCAACTCAACTCATTGTCAATAATTGTCAATTTTAAGCGTACTTTCAAACAGTTATGGTAATTATATTGTGAAGTCAATCTTCGGATATGTAAAGTGATCTGGGATACCACTAATCTTTCTGCCTTAAGATATATGAACACTTCATAAGCTAATCATGGTTCTTGTGATGTACAGTTTAATCCCTCCCCGTAGTTCTCTTGCCATATACTCCTAGCATATTTGCTCCTGTCCTAGGCGTATTGCACTGTGTCATATATTCTTTAAGGGGAGTCCTGTAACGTTCATATTTCTGGCCAAGCTAACGTAAATATATAAATATGTACCTATTTGACTGCAAATCGATGCCATAGATAAGGCGACCTCCCTTCTCGCTTGACATGAGCACTAACTCATAGTGTACGATGCACTGTTTGGGGTATATTTTAGTATAAATTAAAACATAGTTATTCATACGGTGTGAAAGTAATTCTAACATTCAAAAAGACATCAAAACTATTTTATGCATGTAGCTTTCACAAATATCTGCAATGTGTTCATAACTATTGTTAGAGAGTGACAGTTTTGGACTGATATGATCGCCTATACCAACAGAAACAAAAATATATCACAAACACATCATCATCATGTGTCATGCCGGTAAGCGTAACCTATCGTTTTTCGCAGGCTCACACGAATACCAGAATAACGGATCTTGTCAAAAGTCATAATTGTGTAATTTACACGATTTCAAAAAATGGCGTCAAAACGGACACATACACATGCGCGCGCGCATGTACGCACTTACAGGCACATGCATGCACACACACAAACACACTCACACATGCACAAACACCCATACACACACAGACAAAGGAGCAGGTTTTTCTTCTTCTGCCTTTCTATCCCCCAATGGAGCATAGTCCCTCAACCAACTCACGCCAAGTCGTTCTATCCTTCGCCATTACCTGGAGCTCTCCCCATGTCCTCCCAATCTTTCTAACCTCATTCTCCAGCTCTCTTCTCCATGTGTTTTTTGGCCTTCCTTTATTCCTATGCCCCTGTGGGTTCCAATGCAAAGACATTCTAGTTATGCTGTTCTCCTGTTTTCTCAGTGTGTGCCCTATCCAACGCCAGCGTCTTTTCCTCACCTCCTGATCCACTGAAGCCTGTTTAGTTCTCTCCCAAAGTTCTACATTAGTTATTCTATCATACCATTTTATTCCCTCTATTCTGCGCAGGCACCAGTTAATGAATGTCTGTAATTTATTAGTAATTGCCTTCGCTGTTCTCCATGTTTCCGCCCCATACAATAGTACTGATTTGACATTAGAATTAAAAATTTTTAGTTTAGTATTTCTTTTAATTTCTTTTGACCTCCACAAATTCCCTAGTGCTATGAAAGCCCCTCTTGCCTTTTGTATTCTTATTTTAATATCTCTATCAGTTCCTCCATCTTTATCTACATTACTGCCCAAATAGGTGTACGACTCCACGTCTTGGAGTGGGGTGCCATTAAGAGAAACCACATTACTATTTGCCTGATTTATTCTCATTATCCCTGTCTTTCCTTTATGGATTTTCAGACCAAGCTGCTGTGATCTCGCATTAAGTATATTTAATTTATCTTGTATCTGATTCCGTGAATGAGACAGAAGGGCAATATCATCAGCGAAGTCCAGATCATCAAGCTGTTTTGCAGGGGTCCACTGAATTCCATTCTTGGTGTTAGCAGTTACTGTTTTCATAGTCCAGTCTATAGCCAGTAAAAATAGAAGAGGCGACAAAAGACATCCCTGTCGCACACCTGTTTTTATTTCAAATGCACCTGTTAGTTTTCCCTCATGAAGAACTCGACATTTCATGTCTTTATATGTTGCCTTTACTAAGTTGATATTTTTCTGTGGGATTCCATCAATTTCCAGAGAGATTCCCTATCAATGCTGTCAAATGCTTTTTCATAGTCTATAAATCCAATGTAAAGTGGTGAGTTCAGTTCAATGCTTTGCTCTATTATAATACGTAATGTGGCTATCATATCAGTACAGGATCTGTTTGACAGAAAACCTGCCTGCTCATCTCTTAGCATTTTATCAATAGCATCTTTTAATCTTTCCAAAATAATTCTACTTAATATTTTTCCAGGAACTGACAGCAATATAATTCCTCTATAGTTTAGCAGGTTTTTAAATTTGTTAAATATGTTCGTTGAAAATTAAATGGCTCCCATGATAACTCGTAGAAGTTGTAGAGGAGCTCATGTCCCAGCGACACCATAGCCGACGTGAATGGTAGCCTCATCTCTGGTCGGGTCTCCCATGTGGGACAAGTCAAGGGATAAGAACCAGGCAATGAGAGAGACCTACTGTTTTATAGTTACACACTCAATTAGGCAGGAAGCCGTCGAGGTCTAGCGGTGGCTTGACGCTCGCCTGCAGATCGGAGGGTCGTGCGTTCGCACCCTGATGGAGCCGGACTTTTTTTTACTTAGGACTAGCCCAATATACCCAATATGCCTGAAAGGTGTGGAAAAGGGTCCTTAACTAGTCAGTAAGAATAATGAGACTCCTCCCATCTCCCCCCCCCCCCCAAATGCTTGTGGGAACTGAATGCAATGAGTCACTGGTTTGACGAAACAACACAAAGTAACTCTGTTTGTCTAAACATTATTCGGCCATCCTCCGAATAACGGGCACATATTATGGCGGCCAAAAACAGGGCCTCAGTCACATGTAAATTGCGAGCTTCCGCCGACTTAATTTGCGAACTTCTAGCGACTACCGCCACCGCCGAGAGTATCCCCCACGCCGGGGACTCACGAGCAAAGCTGCAGGAGATGCGGACGCTGCTGCTCGTGAGTCCCAGCCATCTAGTTTAGCCCCAATCTACACCGCGTGAGGGATACTCTTGACGGTGGCGGTAGTCGGCAAATTAAGTCACCGGAAGTGCGCAATTGACATGTGACTGAGGCCCTGTTAGGGTGTTTTTGCGGCCGCCATAATATGTGCCCGAGGACAGCCCATTATTCCCACCAGCTGAGACTCTGAGGGCCCCAGTTTAGGAGGGAAGAAAGAAAGGCCCAATTTTCTCTAACAACCGTGTCATAAAATTAGGGGTCTTTAGTTCAAAGTTGGATTAACCTCCCTGTGAGGTGAGGAGACAACAGTCTGCAAACAGGTGAGCCAGATCTGTAAAACAGATGTTCGTGCAAAACTCAGTTTCTGGAACAAGGTTAAAGTCCAGAAGTGGACGAACAACCAAAACTTTCCATCAGAGTTTACAGTCGGTGAATGCAGAGAAGAAGAAGAAGAAGACTAAGAACAAAAAGAAGGAAAAGAAGAAGAAGAAGAAGAAAAAAAAGAAAAAAGAAGAAGAAGAAAAGAAAAGAGAAGAAGAAGAAAAAAAAAGAAAAAAAAAAAGAAGAAAACATCAAGAGTTTAAATTTAAAAAAAAAATATAGAGTACATAAAAGTGCCCCCCCCCCCCCCCCCCCCCAAAAAAAAAAAAACTGAAAGCCTTACACAAAATACCAGAAGATCTCATTGTATAAATTACATTTTAATCTTTCATATTGTATATTAATAGATGTACATAGTATTGTTATAAAACATGCTTCAAGTATAATCCGTTGTCATTATCAATCATATAGTATAAACTCATACTGAAAATTGTTATATAACATGCTTAAGTTAAAACAAACTCATATAAATAATCATATATTCTATACGTGAACAAAGTATAGTCTACAGTCATGCAGTGTGTACTTTACTGCCATTCTCAGACATTTAGTTATATTCAACCATAAATATGATTCATAAATTCACTCAAAAAAATTATTATAAAACATGCATACATTATAAAGTCAGCGTCTGTGGCTTAGGGGTTGCAAACACGCTTCGTAATGCCGGGGTGCCAGGTTTGATCACAGCTGAACATAATTTGTCCTGCGTTGGTTTCGACAGCATTACTGAGAGCTGACCGTTCAGGGAAATGGCAAACTATCGAATGCACAATTTGTGCAGAAAAAAAAAGGGCTGGGATTAGTTCTGCAACGTCCTGTAAACTAACTTGACAGTACAAAACACCCTTAAACACATAGTGAGACATACCGTCTACACACAAACATACATGCAGCCTTATACAGTTATGCAGGCACCTGAGTGTGCAAACACACGCACACCAAAATGTGTGTTTGTGTGTGTAAATTTACGTTTATGTGTGTAGAAATAAAATATCTTTATGGTTGATACAAGCTTGAAAAAATTTTAATACCTTTAAAAACCCTTGGACAATTTGGTGAATTTGGCGATGAACCTCGTATAGTGTTCCGTTTTAATATAATAACATGTAGTCTTGCATTCAAGTACAAACATAGTCTGTATTCTTACATAAACACAATGTCTGAAATCATAAACAAATATATATTCTCTATTCATACACATATAGTCTACATTCCTACACAAATATATTGTCTATGTTCATACAAACAACTCACCCTTTGTTTTTGTTTTTGAGGGTGTAGTTAAGTTTATTAAA